TTTCAGAATATGTTCTTAGAAATTTTTCTTCAGTTTTTATTCGGGAGTCGTGAAATAATCTTTGAAGAGCTCAAAAAATTCGGTTGGACAAAATTTTTCAGCACATTTCTTGTATTTTCACTAACCGTTTCGATTCGAAACTAAAGTTGGAATGTTTATTTATATATGAGCTTGTAGATCAGAAGCTACCCTACAAGATGCACTATTTCAGTATTTGTTTGTTTTTCAACAAGACAACTCAGTGTTCTTTTTACGTCCAAAGGAGCTCTTGATAAAGTGGTTGTAGCTTCACTTAGGTAAAAGCTATAGCTTATTTTAACATCAAATGTTGTAGGGAAGTATCGCCTCTACGAAACGACCGACACCGACAATTTTTAGCATGATAGAAAAAGAACTTAGAGTGTAAACAAAACCCACTTGAGTAACTATTAAATATAATTTCTTGGGCCTTTCAAAAAGTCCCATACTACTTTTAAACAAAAACAGACGCAACATTTCTAAATCCATATTTAAAAAGAGCACAAAATTCTGACCAAGACCTATAGTTTTCCGCTCGACTTACATATTTTCAGGCAGATGAAAATGCACAAATATGTTCACCGAAAACTTCGGTCCACTAGCTTTGTCCAAACTAATTTTTTGAGCTCTTCAAAGATTATTTCATTACTCCCGAACAAAAACTGAAGAAAAATTTCTAAGAACATATTCTGACAGAGCATGAAATTCCGGTCCTACGTGATAGATTTCGACTCATCATAAGCACTTTCTAGCGGCTCAAAAATAGACAAATATTTTGTCCGACAACTTTTCGAGCACCCGTTAATTAAATGTAATCATTGAACTACAGACATAAATACAATAATAAAAAATGAGTAACTCGACAGAAAAGGTTCATCGTAGGTAATGAAAAATAAAATAAAAGAGGGAGGTGGTGAATGTGGGTATGGATTTTTCTCTCTCAAGTAGTCCGGCACATATGTATACACCGCCATGCTCGAGTCCTACTCATGGAGAAACCCACACGCACAACCGTATATCTAGATATAAATATCCAGTCTTTCAGAATTGCATTTTACGAAAATGGAAAAAAAACACTTTGCTTCAATCGAAAAATGTCACGAATAACAACTAGATCGAATTGAAACAATGCATCACATGAAACGTACAACCAATAGGCTGAAATTCATTGCATTATTATTACGATTGATTTGATCAACATATTCTTTTTGTTTCGTGTTTTGAGTTCTAATAACTAATCGTTGTCTTATCTGTATCTTGAAAAATAGATAATGGCCATTTCTTTTTATTTCGAGTCATTGACAGCGGACTGAAACAGAAGTTTTCTCTGATAGAACTCTTCGTTGAAAAGTATAATGCTGCTTTTCAGTTATGAACAACTATTGATAGATTACAATCAAGATGATAGGAGACTTCAATGGATTAATTATCATTTGTCATATTCGAATTGAGCTTAATCATATGGATTGTTTATTTTCAAAAGATTGAAAAAAAAATTCATATAAATATGTAACCATTTGAGAAGGCAATAGAAATGAAATTTGATTTATTGAATTAAAAACCAATTTTTTTCTGGAATATCAAGCATTGAAATTTCATTTTCCATGTCTCTAATAAGATCGACAACACATCATGTACTTTCCACGACTAACGATCAAGCACGTTGTTGACCAGCGACAGATCAAACCAGGTTTACAATCATCTATTAATGGTTTACAAGGTGCATCTTTATTTTGATTGAATGACGACACATATCTAAAAAGGATTATGAAAAAAAACAACATATTTTATATGAGTTGAATGAAATAATTTCCTTACTTGGAGTCAGCAAAACTGATCATGAGAATGAATATAAGCCAAAACCACATTTTACTCTGTCTTTGTTCGATTAATTATTAAATAGAAAAGGAATATGTGTATATGTTTTATAGAAGTAAAATACTCCTTGCATCGTTCTTTTTCTACACTCATCACTTTCTTTCGATAAATAATCGGTAGCATATGTGCTGGAGAAAATGAATAATCAATAATGAGGTGGCGCATTTGAATAGGTAAGCATTACAAATCATATCGATCAGTGCAAATTATATTTCTTTAGAGGTCCTAGAGGAATACTAGTCTTATTCATCATATCGACAATAAACGAAAAAGACGCATAAACACAAGGCATTGATTGGTTTCTACTTACTGCTATTTAAATATTGTATTATTAAACCGATACGAAGCATAGCATTTATATAATCAGCCGCATATATATTCAACTTCTATAATCTACGTGTTTTTTGCTATTAAAAAAACTGTCGCTGTGATCTAGAGAACATCGAGTAACTCAAAACTCGTTTGAGCTTTGTCAGAGAGCCTTATGTCTCGAGATGAAACGCACTTTTTTTTTGAATCTTCAATAGGAGTTTTCTTCAAGGAATGAGAATGTGGGTGTGAGTGTACAAGTTCAATCGATATCCATACCCTTGATTTTCATCATCCTTATATTGGTGTATATATGTGTCGGTCAGATAAAGTTCAAGCTAAAGAAATGTCTCAAGTATATACACTTAAATAATATTTTAATTTATTTGATGATAATACTCGACAAGCGAAAATATCAATCATTTATATTAATTCTGAGGATGAAAAAGTACTCAATGAATCTGTTGAAATAAATAAAAACTAGGTTATTATAAATTATTAAATATAACACTACAAAAAAACACGTTGGTTTTGGATCATTAACTCGTATGACAAGCGAACAATGTGGAAAAATAGTACTAGAGTTTTTTTTTACTGATTGATTTATTGAAGCTAATGGAGATTTACGTGTTGGTACATTGACACAAAATTGATGTCGACTAGTTGACGAAATATGACTTGCACTAGGAAAATGAATACCTTTCTATATACTTGAAAATATATATAAGATCGATTGGCAATGATGAAAGTAAAATTAAGTATTTATTTTCATTATTATATGTAAAAAGAATACGTTGTGATAAATATTAATTATTTATTTTTAAAATCCATGAAATAACTCTCGAGTAAATCTTTTCTTTTATTCAAATAAAAATATTTAAATTTTTCACAAAAAATAAATATTAACATCTTAATAAATTCTTGTTATTTTCACTTTGAATTAATCAAAATAGAAGTATTATACACATAATAAAATGAATTAAAGGTAATAGCGAATGTTGTAAAAGTTCTTGGATAAACTTCAGACTCAGATGTATTCGAAAAGGAGGTTATACGAAGTTCGTTTTTCTTAGATAAATTGAGAGCTCAAATATAAAAGATGGATGTGAATGATGGTGGGTGTTATATGAATCCAAACACACCCACACCCTCAGTCACACTCAAAGAGTTTGAAACATTGCGAATTCGAACTTATAATTTCGTAGCATCATACAGGATCATAATATCATATCTTGTACAAAACTTAGTATCTGGAGTGACATAAGATTTCTGAGGCGATAATTTTTCGTATGATCTCACATGACCATATACGATTTTGATGTATTATCCGATAAGATTATACACGAATACGTATTTTATCTTACTGCCTGGTTTTTCGACCTGCCCCGATCGAAAAATCAGACGTAAGATCTTCAGGTTGGATCTCTGATATTGTATGATTCTATCATATCAGACGAAAATCGTAGTGTCCGCAAAAACTTCCATCAAGTCTTAGCACATGATTCTTGTAAGATCGTGCACTTCGAAGAATTGTGTGCTAAGACTTGATTTAAGTTTTGCGGACATCACGATTTTTCGTCTGATGTTATAAGTTCAGATGAGATCAGACTTAAAGTCTTATAAGATCTTACCATCGGATTGTTTACCCTGGGTGGAGTTACATGGACGATACATGCAACTCAACTACGATCATAAATGGTCGTATACTACAATCGTGTACGACAGTCGTTTATTTTGAATGTATACATTAATCATATTTGAACGTGCGGTATTATATACATTCATTATATACGACCGTGGTATATGATGACAAAATGGTATGTGCACCACTTTCTCAGGTGTGGTTATTCATACAACACACGTCATAGGTATACTCACCAATATCGATCTACATTATTGGACAAGTAACTTTTCACAAACGCACTGGTAAACATCTCTGGAAATTAAAAATCTTGATGCCTTGATATACGGCTTTTTATTGTGGTTCTGTTGTTGATTTGTTCGCTTTTGAATTCTTACACTGCAAAATAATTCTTTTACCATGCCCCATTGTTAGAAAGTTAGGTCTTGGACATATTTTTTATTACAAAATTTTTCTCAATCTTAAATTACGAAAAAAAATGAACACAGAGGAAGAAATACATAGTTTAACAAAATTATCTACCATAGTAGCTACAATAATTGCAGAGCTCAGTATATCATTCGATAATTAGTCAAGTGATATTGATCAAGATGACAGTGCGGACGACCAAAATGCACCAGAAAATTCTTCAGAAACTTAAAATTCATTTGCTTTATTGGTCGTAATTGTGGACGATCAAAAAGCTGTTCGAGACGAAGAAAAATGATTTGTTATGTTTTTATTGTTTATCAATAAATGAATTTTTTCTATATGTGATTTACAGGATAGTATTAAATTTTGTTGATTATTGTAAAGGGCTCGACATTTATTATTTCTCTTTTTACGTCTACAAAAACAGACACGAGATACAACACGTTTTGTTATTCGTCCAGTGCGACAGAGAAAGAAAAAGAAAAGGAGAAAGAAAAAGAAAAGGAAAAAGAAAAAGAAAAGGTGAAAGAAAAAGGAAAAGGAAAAGAAAAATGAAAAGAAAAAGAAAAATCTTTTTTTTTTATCTCGACTCTCTACACCAAACATTAGTATACGATGATATTATATAATTGCAATTTCTCGTGTTTGACTGCTCCAAGGTCAAAGAATAAAAAAGAAGTATAGAAATCATTTATTCAACCTTGTCAACCCGAAATACATTTACATTATTAAAAATTCATCAATGAATGGAAATAATTCATCCGAAGAGGTGGATAGTCCTGTTCGACACACAACAAATTTAGGTGAATTAATTTTGACCGCAAGTAAGTTTACGATTATTATATACGCGATGGCTTATAGTACTATTGCCCCATTCAAAATATAATGTGTTCCACTGTTTTTTCAATAACTTGAGAACACAAACAGCTGGAGACTTGCAGTTTTCACCAATCGAAGAAGGAGATCGGGGAACATCTTTTTTCTTCAATAAAATATAAGAGAAAATCCTTTTAAAACTAATTATTTTTCGAAAAACATGTAAAAGAACGTATGGAAATGACTTGTCATCTAGATGAAATTTTGATTTAGATAGAGGAACTTCAAATCTATAATTCAAGATACAATGCAAATTAGTTCTCTTATTACATTCTAATGTTGAGCAAATTGGATCATGTATTTACATGCGCAAATAATAGGAATTTTTATTAAGTCTTTTCACTTTTTATCATAATAGCTTGACATTTCGATGGAAATGTAATGAAAAGTAAGAAACTGCATTATATATTGAACTATAGATTTGAACTTCTTCTATCTAAATCAAAATCATACCTGCTTTTACATATTTTTCAAAAATAATATAATTTGAAAAAGATTTTCTCTTATACATTATTGGAGAAAAAAACATTCTCTAGTCTCCTCTTTCGATTGATGAAAATCGCAGGTCTTCAGCTGCTTGTGTTCTCAAGTTATTCAAAAAACAGTGGAGCACATTATATTTTCAAATGAACAATGATACAATCGAATATTTCAAACAATGAAAACAATATTCAAATAATTTGTCGTTCTTTCTTTAGATGATATAAATCAGAAGCATTTGGAATATTTACCATATCCAGATTGGAATTTTAATGAAGAATCTGACGAAATTCTTCAAAAAACTTCTGCTGATAAAAATGGTTTGAATATTATCTTTTGTATTTCATAGATTAATCTATTTAAATATAGATGAACAATGTCCATTAGAACAGATCTATTTACGATGCAATAAAACATTCCTACCCGGTCAATCAGTCCATGTTATTAAAATAGAAGCAGAGAGAATATATCATCCAGTAATAGAGTTTCTCTATCCTTATCTGTAAGTTTCTTTTGTTGACATTATCAACAATGTTATAGAGTATATGACTGTAATATCTTGTTAATATAGATATACGATAACTATTCTTTATGGTTCGACATTTGAATGGACAATTAAAAAGCGTTATAAAGATTTTGGTGATCTTCATCAAGCTCTTCGAACTTATGTGAAATCAGAATTAGCAAGATCTGGTAATAATTTGAATAGGTATGAATAATAAATTGATTTTATTTAATAAAAAGTTATCTATTGAATTTTTAACGTTTTGAAAAAAAAATGATTATAAACTTATGAACATATTTTATATTCTAAATTTTAGTGTAAGACCATCTGAAACAAGTGATGATCATGATTCTTCAATTCGAAGACAAGAGAAACAACTACCATATTTTCCAACTCGAAATGATCGTATTTCATTTATTAATGAATCTTCTATAAATGAACGATGTGTAAGATTTTTCTTATTTTTCTTATGATCTATTTCTTTTTTTTTATTCTAGAAAATATTACAAAATTATCTAAATAAAGTACTTAAACATCCAAAACTTCGTGAACATAGTGCAACGGTAATATTTTTAAAATATTGATTTTGTTAAATTATTTATTTTTCTTGATTAATAGAGAAATTTTCTTAAAGTGAGTCCACTTTCATTTGTACGAGGATTGGGAAAGAGTTTACGAGAAGCTGAACTTTCAAAACGATCGAATGATGATTATCGTGGTCGATCAATCTTCATTCGATTACCTTTTTTATGTGATACATGTAAATTTCATCATAGACCAAATTGGTTTGTTATTAAAGATTCTTATATTGTATATATAAAACTTGATTCGGCTCTTATTGGATTTCCAATGCTTGTTGATCATGGATTTTCTGTTGATCGACGTTTTCGTAAAACAAAAACAAATAATGGAATTCGAATAAAAAATTTACAACGTTTAATGGTTATTAAATATCAAAACGAATATGAACGAGATAAATGGTTCGATACATTAATGGAAATTAAGAATAAATCACTTCTTACTCAACAACATCCATTTAAATCATTTGCACCACAAAGACAACAACAATATGCACAATGGTTTGTTTATTAAATATTCTTTTTTTCGTAAAAGAGAAAAAAAAAAATGTCGGAGTTGATTATAAAATTTAGTTGCCTTTAAAAGGCGACTACTATCCATTCAAAAATCCAATGGATTCGGTTGTAACGTGGATAACTCGAGAATGAAAGCAACTAGAAACCTGCGGTTTTCAATATTCAAAAGAGAATTATATTTTATAAAAATACAATTGGTTGACAATTGACTAATCAGGTGAATTCTTGATGGATATTTTGAAAACAAAATTCTGAAGACATTTTTCATTGGATTTTGAACTTTGACATGATCATCCGATAGAAAAAATTTAGCTCTTTCGATCTACGCAAAGCCGGGGCCACTACCTTGTTTCATTCGAAAGTTATAAGGATTTTCTTGAAACCTCCGATTTTGACCAATTGTCATTGAACAACCGAAGAATAGGTCTGGAGAGGAGTAATTGGCAATGGTGAGTCGAGTGTTGATATTTATTTTCAGTTGCAAAGTAATTTCAAAGCACTGTATCGGGATTTCTGAAATGTCGCCTCTTTACGATACATGGCAGAAAAATTTGAAATGTGTAAATTTCAATATAGTGGTTTCAAATTACTTTGCAACTGAAAATAAATATCAACACTCGACTCAGCATTGCCAATTACCCCTCTCCAGACCTAGTCTCCGGTTGTCCAGTGACAATTAGTCAAAATCGGAGGTCTTAGAAAAACTCTTATAGCAAGATCTCGGCTTTGGGTAGATCGAAAGAGCCCAATTTTTCCTATCTAATGATCATGTCAAAGTTCAAAATCCAATGAGAAATGGCTTCAGGATTTTGTTTTCAAAATATCCATCAAGAATCCACCTGATTGGTCAATTGTCAATCAATCGTATTTTTATAAAATAGAATTCTCTTTCGAATGTTGAAAATTGCAGATCTCTAGCTGTTTCCATTCTCGACTTATTCAAGTTACAACCGAGTCTATTGGATTTTTGAATGGATAGTAGTTGACTTTTAAAAGCAACTAAATTTTATAAGGAACTGCGACATATATATATGTTATATTCTCATTATTTGCACAATTAATAGGTTTGTCAATGGTGAACCGTATATGGAAGCATTAGCCAAAGCGATATTAGCAGCACGTGAAGAGATATTTATTAGTGCTTGGTGGCTTTCACCAGAAATAATGCTTATTCGTCCATCTCAAGATGATTCAATGCGACTTGATAATCTTCTCGGCAAACGAGCTGTAAGTTTATAATAGGTTTTTTGAGAATATTTGTCTTTTATAAACAATAGAAAAATAGGAAGAAGGTATTCGTATTTATATATTGGTATTCAAAGATATATTACCGGTTGTTGGTTTAAATAGTTATCATACAAAAAAGAAATTAGTTGGCAAAAGTCCAAATAAGAAAAATATCAAAGTAGATTTTATTCTTTATTTTTCTTATTATTATAATTCTTTGAAATTAAAGATTATTCGACATCCTGATCATCGAATTTTACCTGGAACAGAATCGTCATTTCTCTATTCACATCATGAAAAAACTGTTGTTATTGACCAACGATTAGCTTTTATCGGAGGACTTGATCTTTGTTGGGGTCGATGGGATAATGATGATCATCGGTGAGTTATCTTATAATGAAAAGTTTCGAATCTTTGATTATTTTCATGGTTTTTTTTTGTGTGAATAGATTGGTGGATTTGAGTAATGAGAATATTACAGAATTGAAATCTGCTGAAGAATTAGCAAATCAAAGTGATCAAGAATCAACAAAGGACGAAGCTGCTGTTGATACATCTAAGAAAATGGCAGAGAATAATACCAATCAAAACATAGTAAGAATATAGTAGATTCATTTTGTCTCTGTCAACTGAGTGAGTTATAGAAGATTAAGAGTTTTTCTTTTTGAACTTTTTTAATCTGATATCATGATTTGGACATAATTTATTTAATGATATTTTTGATAAAGGTATCTAAGCTATTGGACAAAACAACAAATTCCGAACAAGAATCATCTCATGAAACAAAAGCAAATGGTATTAAAAGTATGTATTTCAATTGTATTCTGACCAATCATTTTTTATTTTCTATTGAAATAGATATTACTAGAAAACTTTCAAGTAAGTTTATGTTCAATAAATCATTCTGAAGAATATTCTATTTAATTTTAATGAAAACAGTTCATGGCCGAAATAAGAAAAAAAATAGCCATGAAAATACGGACAATTCAAACGGTAATATTCTTTCTTTATAATTTTCAAATAGTTATTTTCTTTGACTGAATAGAAGTAACAAAAATTGAAGATAGTTTGAACAGTGCTGAAAAGAAATTTCTGGCTGAAGAAGATGAACTTGAATATCGGCCTAATCAATATGGAAATAGATGGCGACGAATTGTCGAAGTAATTTTTATTGAAGAATATTATATTTTCTTTTTTTCTATTTGAATGATAGATGATAAAGAGTAAGACTAACAGTGACGATTCATCAGATGAAGAAGAAGAAGAAGATGTCTCTGTCAATGAATCATCAGATACGAAACCTAAAACAATTGTTGGTGTTACATCTGTAATGGATGGCACATATCGGTATTTTTTGGGCAAAGATTATTCGAATTATTATCATAAAGATTTTGAATTTATTGAAAAATTTGATGAAGGTTTTTATTTTTACTCATTTTTTTTAAGAGAATATATCATGTCTTAATTTAGATTATATTGATCGAAAACTTGTACCACGAATGCCATGGCATGATGAAATATTAGTTGTCTCAGGTGAAGCAGCAAGAGATTGTGCGAGACATTTTATTCAACGATGGAATATTCACAAGGTCTTGACTCATCTATATATAGACTAGTACTAAGAACATAATTGTCTAAATTTCATGATTATTTAGGCAGATAAACATCGTTTTAATGAATCTTATCCTTATCTTCTTCCAAAAACATGTGATGATGATGATGAATTATTCGATACATCTTTTCTTCGTTCAATTCTTCCTGATGATCGACCACCAATTCGTATTGATGCTCAATGTGTTCGTTCAGCATCATTTTGGTCATGTGGAATTCGTACTGTGGAACGATCGGTTGCAAATGCCTATATTCATATGATCGATAATGCTCAACATTTTATTTATATTGAAGTAAGTTCTTTTTCAATTGTAATTATTTTTTTCGTTTGAAATTCACAATATTAAATTGAAAAAAAATAAATAGAATCAATTTTTTGTCACAATTCCTGAAGATCCAGCAATTAAAAATCATATTAGTGATGCTCTTTATCGACGTATAATACGAGCACATTCTAATAAAGAAATATTTCGAATATATATTCTGTTAATACAATAAATCGATAAGCAATGGAAAAAACAAAAAACTAAATCAAAAATTGATTTTTGTATAGCAGATTTTTATTTTTTATAAATAAACAAAATTTTCTTTTTTATTGTCTGTTTAATTTTCGGTCCTATTGAGACCATCATCTGAACCTAAATCATATTGATGAAAATAATTTCATTTCATTTCAATTTCAATTTCAATTTCAAATGGTTGTTTATTTATAAAAATAAAAATCTGCTATACAAAAATCAATTTTTGATTTAGTTTTTTGTTTTTTCCATTGCTTATCGATTTATTGTATTGATATTAAAAATCCATGTCCAATTTATAAAATTAATGTATATATATTCTGTTACCATTATTACCTGGTTTTGCTAGTGCTAATACTATTCAAGCTGTACTTTATTTTATTATGAGATCGATCAATAAAGGTGAAATGTCACTCTATCAAAAATTAAAACAGAATGGTAAGTGTATTAATCATTTTAATAAATCATAAATAAATAATTGATAAGAAAATAGGTGTATCCAATCCTGAAGATTATATCACATTTTATGGTATGCGAAATTGGGATATATTAATGGGTAGTTTAGTAAGTACTATTTAGTATTTAAGCCCCCCAAAAAAAGTTACTTTTCACCAAAATGATAAAAATTGAGATAAATTCATGGAAAAATAGCCAGTCATCTGCTCTTTCATAAATGACAACAACTTTTACTCAGCACCTCCTTTTTTTTTGAGAACCTGGGTTCGAAAAGGTAGCGCTAGTAGAACTCTATCATAGTAAAAGATAAGGTCAAATATTTATTTTTTATTTGAAAGCTTGTGTCTAGGACTAACCGCTCTTGTAGCCCTTTTTTTTCAAAATAAGCCTTTTTATTATCGTATAAGAGAACACCTCTATAGAAATAGCGCCGTTTTTTGAGGGATTTTTTGAGTCATTGAACTTGTCATTCCTTTTTTTTTTGCTTAAAAAGTAAGAATTTTAAAAAAAAGACAACGAGAGTAAATGCATGCTAACGTGCTCTTTCAAACAAAAACAAATTAAGTAACTAGAATGAAGGTCCACAGAGAAAATTTGGTGCTACTATTCTGCTATTTTTGACCCTTGTTCGGTGAATGTCTCTGTTAAACATCGTGCTATAAGGTTGAAAATTTTATTATAGACATGGCTCGCCAGCCCCAACATATCCTGAAAGTTTCAGATCGATTTTTGAGGGGAGGAGGGACTTAAATTCGATGAAAGAATTTTTTTTTTCAGGTTACAGAAATAATTTATGTCCATTCGAAATTAATGATTGTTGATGATCGAATGTGTATTTGTGGATCGGCTAATATTAATGATCGTTCACTTCAAGGTTCTCGAGATTCAGAAATTTGTTTAGTTGTTAATGATGTTGAAATGATCGATTCATGTCTAAATGGACATAAGGAAAAAGTTGGACTTTTTTGTTCAACATGGCGAAAGAAATTATTCAGGTGGGTTTTTTTTTTGTTTTAAATTTCTTTTTTTCCTTTGTCTAATTATGTATTTTTCTTTTATTTATTGTTGAAGATTACTATTAGGTATAAAAAATGAAGAAGAAATCAATGTTGATGATCCATGTTCAGATGAATTTTATCAATACTTTCGTCGAATAGCACAGAAAAATACTCAAATTTATGAAGAAGTATTTAATTCATTACCTACCAATCAGATACGACGATTTGCTGACGTTGAAGCTTATGAAAAACGATCGAAATTGAAAGAAACTGATCCTCAAACAGTATAGCTATATTTCATCTCATATGTTCATTTATTTTTATTCTTTTTTCTTCTATAGGCTCATGATAAATGTAAAGAAATTCAAGGTTTCATTGTAGAATTTCCAATAGAATATCTAGCCGATGATGTTATCATGCCAAAATGGAATACATCAGCAGGTTGTTTTCTTTTCTATAGTTTAATTATACAATGATATATTTTCGTCTCTATGAGAAGAGAATCTATTTCAATTTATTCACTTTATCTTTTGTTTTACAGGTATTGCACCAATTCTCTTATGGACATAAGCCAATATAACAATTCAATAGTAAAAACTGCTTTTATAAATTTGCTTTTCTTTGTTTTCTTGAACTAAGTTCTTTTTTTTTGTTAATTGTAAGACAATGTTCACATTTCCAAACAGATTTAAAAAAATTCCACATTCAACGAAGAACTAATTGATGAAGAGATGTTAGTTTCTCTCTAACAGAGTTAATATATCAAGCAGAAATGATTATAATCAACACTTATTTTTTATTTAAAGATATGAAATGAAAATACATCTAGGTTAAATAATTCAATCGAATGCCGAGAACCGGATTCTGGCAGATAGTCGATGAATCGAAACTCTTTTAATAGCAAAGAGAATAACTTATCATCACACAAAGTTTATGAAGACTATGGATACATTATAATTAGAAATAAACATTCGTTTATCGAAACATTCAAACTGAGTTTTTTCGAGTAACAACTAACTGTTGCTCGTCATCAGAAATATCTGATTTTGAAGCAATTTGTTTGAGTTGGGTGTGGATGTGGAATGTGGGAATGGTTGTGAGATGTGGCTGGACATGATTATTCTAATTATTGACACCTACACCCTATTTGTTAAACATATTCAAGAATCATGTCTTAGCATTGACAACTAAAAGTTTTACAAATATCGCTTATGCTCATTTGCACAGAATATTAGTTGTTATCTAGTTTTATCAAATGCTTCATCGTTTTCGAACTTTTATTATTGTAAACTGAAATAATTTGATTTTTACTGATAAACTTTAAAAATCCAAGACAGTCCGAAATTGTACAAATCAAAAAGTTCAAATAAAGTTCTAAAACCAAAAAGATCGCTTTTTCTTCTTTAAATCTCAAACGCACATATATTCAGCCTGATTGTGGGTGTGGGTGCCGATGTGAAACGTTCTATTCATTAACATCCACATCCACATCCACACCCTACTATACGATCACAGATCATATATCGATAAGGTATCATTATAATATATGAACTATCTGCTTATTGTATTTCTACAAGATTAAATAATAGGATAAGGTTGTGAATGTGAAGAAGAATTACTCATAGCTACCCTCACTCAGACCCATATTCATACTCATCATGACTTATATAACTTTGTGCGATAAGTAATGAAATCTTATCTTATCAAATGCATGACATAACTGATTTAAGCAAACAATCAAGTTTCATTTTCTAGTGTAGCTCTTTCAGACATGTTTATGCTTCATCGTTGGCTATTTCAAAAGACGAAAATACCGGAACATGTGCATCAAAATAGATCCATCTTGTACGAAAAATACAAATCATTGGACGAAAAAAGTAACTCGATTAAGCATCGGCAATATATTCGTGATATAAGCTCACGCTATTCATATTCTGTGATTGGATTAGGCAATTTTGCATCGCTACAGCTCTTTGTCATTTCAGTATTCTTGAATGATAAAACCTATGACATGCTGTAAGGTCTATTTTAAAGGATAGATGAAATAAATAATATGGTTCGATTTTTAGCATCAACAATTATATACAGACGGCTGATATATTAGAACAGTTAGTGTCACTTGGTGCACTCTTTCGTGACGATGCCGTACATGCTTGTTTAAAGAGTTCTGATGGTCATCAAAAGTTTGAGCTCGAACAAAGAATTCCTGTACAGTTCAATGATTGTCGACTTATCGTGCAAAAAAGAGAAAGACCATCGGATACAATCTGCATTTCCATCTTGGGTATCAGAGATAAGGATGAACTTCTCGAGGCTCGATTACAAGACACAGTTGCTATATTGAAACTCAAGATTTTGATTTATTTTTCTATTCTACCAGATTGCTGTTATCTTATGTTTCGACAAGAACCACTTCAAGAGCAGCAAACATTGATTGACTACAACATTCGACATGGATCTAGAATAGTTTGTTGTCGAATATAGTAAGAGACACGGATTTTTATCAAGAATAAATAAAATCATTTGAAGAATAATGGAAAAATCTCATCTTGTAGGATGAGGACCTCTACTAATGGTAAGGTTGATGAGTAATAGTGAGCAAAAAAAAACATCACCTTTCGCATGATATCAATTTAAAGAAGGATTTTTCTTGTTTGATCAACGAACTTCTTTTTTCTATTGAAATGCTGCTATGACCTCATTCATTAAATATCGTAGTCATTGTAATCGGTAATGTTAATCTTGATCTAACCAGTACGGTTTGGCATTGAACAACCAATTGGTATGGAGAAAGTAGACTATATTCCAGGAAACGTATGATTGAAATATCAGAGATCATTACAATTCAAAAAAACAGAAATTCCAGTTCTGATAGTAATCTTGTGAATTGTTGATTCGAGCTCGACTGATAAAAAAAACCCTTTCAGTGGAGTCAGTACAGGATGTACATAAGGGTGTGGGTGTGAGGAAGAGAATGACGCCTATACATTTCACCCGCACCCTTTATGTATTCAGTAATGTCTATCATATCAATTTCTATCGTAATTAAATATTTCATTATTGAAAAAGTCACTTTAAATTTTTAATTTACTAAACTGATTTTCTCTCACAATATATAAAAAAAAGATTAAATAGAGAAAATCTTTTTCTTATGATCACGTTCGAGCGACAAATCTTCTAGTACCCTTGATTGAAAAGTGCCGAGAGACTAGTAAATTTACCCTCAAACATAATGAATAAAACACTTGTATCGGAGATTAAAGTAGATCTATTGTAGTTGACATATTAATTGACGATGAATTACAATTATCTTTAATAGAAAAAGTAATAAATGCTCATGGAAAATAATTGATTAATAGCTGTCTAGTGTAACCATTTCTTTGACAAAGAAGCAGTCATCAGATCCAGTTCTTTCAATACAAACTGAGTGTCCGATATCCGTTCAGTTCTTTGATCAGGAACTGTTACAAGTCTATCTGTATAACAAAAGAAATAAATCAGAATCAATGGAGGATTTGTTCGGTGAACAACTAATGAGAAGTAGCGATGAGTCATCAGATTCTCATATCTATTTGTCATTGGTTCTGATTTCTTTTGTTGCCGAAGACAAGCCTTAATTCTCTTGAAAGGTTGATCTACAAAAATTAAGACGGATTTCTTTTCATGTTATCATTCATTGATAGTTGTATAAAAACTCTGACTAGATAGATTCCAAAGTACCTAAGTAAGATATCTTTAAAATTCATCGATGGCGTAAATTTCTGCGAAACGTGTTTAATGCTGGACAGTTTAACGCATCCTACACCTCTTAAAATAAACGTTGCGAAACAATTGCTTCTTGAAAACATTTCGCAGTGTTTCTAAAACTGTGGTATCACATACTCGGAACGTTAGAAAAAAACAAAACCATCAGGTACTTCGTAGAACTCAACTTTCAGATGCGATTCACATACTCGTTCACATTAACTTATTGAATTATAGAGCTAATTTTTAATTAGTCTTGATAAATTTAAGAGATGGATTCGAACACGAAATTACAAGAGTAGAAGATATACGCACAAACCGTTCAACTAAAATAGTTGAATGATATAAATGTTTATTCTATTTTTATCTAGATGTCTTGTACAAATTTATGATTCGAATAAATTTTGTTTCACATCTGAATGAATGATGAAAAATGATATTATTTTTACTGCTTTTATCCAAATAAGAGTGTCATTTTGCCGTCAATTTATTTTAAATTTCAATTTGCAAATTTTTTTTTGAAGTTTAAATACCTAATTAAAATGAATTTGATTCCATATAAATTGAATAAAAAATTTTAAAAAGATTAAATTTCGTAAATTTATATTCAAAAAAAATATAAATCTTAAATTTTCAAACTTAGCAAAATTTTTGTCAGATTTAATAGTTCTTTTGTAAATGTAAATCCATGATCACTAAATGCAATTTAGCCGAATGTTTGATGATTGAATCAATGAAATTAATTGAAGAAAATTGATTCATCATAAAATATTTTGAAATACTTCTTCAAGAAATGTTTCTCTTTTAATTTCGAATTTCAAAAATGCTTTTCACAAGTCGAATTTGTCAATTCGATTGTAAAACTGATCTTTAGTCGTTCGATTCTCAGATAGAAAAGTCCAGTCTGATCTCGTTTTGTTGTTCATTGAAATCGATTTCATATTTTGACAATGTTGACTAATGAAGTTGAACATCGTCATTCGAATTTTGATCAATGATTAATGATTCGACGTGATATCAATTGACGAGATCTTCCCAAACAATCGTTCGTCGATATCAAATGTCCAGTTCTCCAGATCAAATGTGTTTCTTATCGATAGAATGAAAATCAATTGATCACAAAATGATCGATTTTATCGAAAGAAAGGCTCATGCAAATGTTTAATGTTTATCTGTTTGTTCAATCAATTAGACAGCAGCAGAATTACACAATATTTTTTCTCAAGAAAGGTTCTCGAAAGATAATCGACGATGGGGAATTCGAATCTGAATTCAGTTTTTATATTTTTCAATAGGTTTGCCATAAATATTAATAATTTTCTAATACTTTTTGGTAAAACTTGACTAACAATAATCGAAGACAGAAAAATTGAATTCAATGTGTTTATAAGCGTGCTTTAAAACCAACTAGTAACAAGAATTACTTATTAAGTGAAATTTTTTAAACTAATCGTACCACCTCTATGACTTTTTTTTTGTAGAAACTGACCATAAATGCTAATATTCATAATAGAAATTGAATGTCACATTCTGGAAAACTTTATTAGGGCTAGTCACAATATGAAAACACAATTCCAATATCACCTTTCATTGAATTTCAATAAGTGTTATTTGTAGAAACGAATTTGTATCTCACAATAGCATTTCAAAACCTTTGTCGCAAAGTTTTTCAACCACAAATGCTAGCATACCAATCTTCAGCCTGAGAATTTTCCATAGGAAATCCTCCAAAACCGGTTAGTCTCTCGATAGGAGCCAACTGGACATTTAATTTGAAAGATTCACTGGAGCTGAGCTTCAGAAAAGATCCGAAAAAAATGTTGAATGATTTTGCAGAAAACGGCACCAAAGGCTCTGATGACGATGACATTCTACGAGAATCAGAATTTTTTGGAAAAGAAGGACATTTTTACTTTGATACGGCATCTGCATATATTTCACAGGAGAGGCTTATTTCTAGAATTTTACCATGTGGTTCCTTGCTATTGACAATCCAGTAGTTTCTCGAAAGGAGCCAAAAAACGGATGGAGTAAATCTGAAGAAAACTGGACAATCGATTGTTCGAGAAAATTTTAACGAATCAAAATATTCTAAGCAATCCTTATAAGTTTCCTGTTTCAGAATTCAGTGCACTTCTTTCAGAAAAGGGCGAGCAAATCCATAGGATACGGGCTATCTTATATTTAAAACTGGGATCGAAAGAAGTTTGTAGAGAATTCAACGATGTATCTTTTAGAAAAAAAATTCAAGATTCAATCTTTTTTCTGTACTAAGGTACATGTAAAATACAACTGTAATACTCATATTTGCCCATCCGGTATCCGTCTGCTTTCATCATCAATGGTGAGATGTTTGTCCTTGATTCGATTCTTTGTTACAAGAGAAGCGACAATAAATAATGCATCGTCATTTGCGCTCTTGTAGGGGTTGATAGTTGTCAATACCAATGATTGGCATCTTTTTTTCTTTACTGTTTAAATAAACGGAGAAAAAAAAACTCAAGGTAAAATGCGTCGTCATCCTGATGAAAGTAATCCGATACTATACATATATATGTATATATACAGACTACACAATAGAATAAATTAAGTTAATCTTACTCAGAAGCAAGGAAAGATGGGTGCAAAAAGTATGTTGATTTTACTTGAATAAGTTCAAGAGAATTTTTACTGCTGTTTTTAGTTTGTAGCAGCAACACTGTTCATACTCAGCAGGAACATCCTGTTCAACAACAACAAAAAGAACCGGTCTGGGATGGTAATAAAGTGGAAATGATCAGTGAAAAATTAGCATCAAATGTGTATGCATTTTATGATAAAAATGCCAAAGAACTCAATGCGAAAGGTGGTGCTGCAGCCACTAGTGGTGGACTGATTGTTGGTGAGAAAGGTTGTTTGATGATTGAAACAATGTTGAACAAACGTTTAAATGCTCAAGTTCAACAATTGAGTCAAAATCTATCAAATAATAAACCAATTCTTTTTGCTGTCAATACTAGTTCACATGGTGATCACTGCTTTGGAAATATGTATATGCCGGCAACAACGGTAATTATTCAACATATTCATACAAAACAATTTGTTGATCAACATATGGCTGAAGATAAAAAATTTATGATACAAAATTTTGGACAAGGACGTGGTATTGAAGAAATCAAAGCTCGTACTGGTGATATGCTTGTTGAACATGGATCAAAAATTCAAATTGATCTCGGCGGTGGCAAACTTGTGGAAATTATTGATTTTGGTTTTGGTCAAACAGGTGGTGATCTATTTATCTGGGAACCACAATCAAAAGTGATGTGGGCTGGAAATCCGATTGTTGCACGGAAACCTGCATTGCCATGGCTATTGGATGGTCATCTAGTTGAAACACTTAAAACATTAACAAAAGTTTACGAATTTCTTCCGAATGATGCTCAAGTCGTGCCGGGACATGGTATTATCATGAAAAGAGAAGATATTCGATGGCATATTGACTATCTCGCGGCCGTTAAAAATCATGTACAAAAAGCTATTGATCAAGGATTAAATCTCGAGCAGACAGTGAA